GCAATACGCGAGGGAGCAGTGCTGTTGCGGGTCTCTCTAAATTTGTCCCATTCTGGGAGCATCAGTGGTTTGGGTGCAATGGGTCTGTGTTTTAGTTGTAAAGTAATGCTAATATGTAATGATCACTGCCAAGATTAGTTCGGCTGTTAGTCCAAACCATTGTGGGGGCATTGTGAGTGAGGGTAAGATCGGGAGATGTATCTTTGTTCACACTGTTCTCCAAACGAGTAAGTAGGCTCATCCGGGTCGTTGTGCAGTGTAAAACGATGTGCCTGAATATGGGACCAGAGGGCTCTACCTTTCGGTGTAGATGCGGTGTAACCCCACACTGGCTGGGAGGCGTTGAAAAATCCACTATGAGGAGGGTGTGTTTGCCTGCCGAGGATGTAGCTCGGGCAAATAGGGAATCGAAGCGGTGCCTTTGCTTTTGTGGTGTACTATATACGTTGAGATTGTATAAGAATGGTGAGATTAGTTTATCAGGTAGTACTTGGAGAAAGTCGTGCTCAATGTCGATGTCAGCAAATTTCGAATAGGTAACTGTAAGGTGCTTCTGAGTTAAGACAGCAGTGTTTGGTTTGGTATCAGCCGGGTTTTGATGCGTTCTATAACCTGGCAGCTGCACTACACCATTTGTTTCTTGTAACGCAATGATTGGGGGAGGGGTAGTTTGTGATTTGATGTACTGCAAGAGGTTTGCCTTTTTTTGGCGAAACCACCTACAGTTCCATTGCCCTACGCAAAGTTCAGTGCGGTTACGAGGAGCTATTTTCGCAAGGCTGATTTGGCTTAGGTTGGGAAAGCTCTGGATGGTTAGCGTGGACCGTGTCGATCCACTGCGTGACTCTATCTAGGGTTTGTTGCATCGATAACATGGCTTGTTGTATCGAGGCCACGGATTCATTTAGCTTCCGCAAGGAAGCTGTGGAGAAGGTAATAAAGTTTTCTAGTTTTTTCCTCGAGTTTGGTTACTTTTTCTTTAACTTTATCAACCTTCTCTAGTTTCGCTTCGACTTGGTCTACTCGCTCATCGAATGACGATGTGGGAGTCGACACTTTCCGTTTTTGCGCAGGTGGTTGAGCGGGGTGCCTAGCTATAGAAGTGGTTAAAAGAGGAGCTGGTACTTGTGAGATAGGTGCCGGGGTGAAAGATGAGGCGGGGAGTTTTGGGGAGGTAGATTGTTGTTTGAAGGACTGAAGCTCTAGGCGTAGTTTTGCATTTTCTGCCTTCAATTTAGCCATCTCATCCTGCATTGGTTTGAGCTGCTTTTGAATGAAGCTTTCAGGGGAGGCTACATCAGCCCAGCTCACCTCGTGTCCAGGGACAGTCCGAAGGCTGGGGTCTTGAAGAATGCTTTTGTTGCGGCTTTGGCTTCGGCTGCGGCTGCGGCTTTTCCGGCTTTGATGTCTTGGGATACTGGGTGAGCGTCCTCTAGGGGCGTTCTTGAAAGATGTGCTTGGGTCGAGGAATGGAGCTGCATCTTGCTGGAAAGTTGAGGGTGCGTGCTTTGGTTTGGGCTTGTAGAGCTGTGGGCACTGGGGCGAGCCGGTGGGGTGGTCAGTGTTGCACACCACAAACTTAGGTTCAAATTCGTGATCAAGGAGTGGGTTCGGGATGCCACACATTGGACATAAAGGCTGAAAGGCGCCTGGGCATACGTCTGGTCTGTGGCCAAGTTTGCGGCAGAGATTACAGGCTTCCGTCTTATGACGATAGGGTAAACAACTGGTGATGCCACCTTGATAACTTATGTAGAAAGGCACGCGCGTACCTTTGAAGGTGACCAAGATGGACGTTGTGGAACCCATGCGACGTCCGGTCAGGATGAGGCCTAGTCTGTCATAGTCCAATAGATTTGACAAGATGCTTTCAGATGTGTGTTCCATAGAAATATTACGGATGACCCCTCGGCACGTATTCGATGGATCGGTAATGTGGGGGACAAGTTCAAAGCTGCGCTCATCCATCTTGATGGATTTTTTACGGTGGTATGCTTCGGTGCGTGCTGAGTCCGGTGTGCTTATGAGCAGAATGTTGCTTACAGAATTGATGCGGTATTGGTCATGTATGAGGCTTGTGAGCGCTGCCGCTTTTAGGACGGAATGTATGAGCTTCGGAAGTGGAGTGTCAGCACAGCTGAGGCCTCCACGTATTCGCAGGACTATTTTGTAGTCGTCCGCTGGAAGTGGGGGGGGGGGGGGGTCTGGGGGCACTGCGACGAATGGATGGGAGAGCTTTCGGTGACTGTTTCTTGCGAAGTGTTGATGGCAGGCGTCGATTTCTTCGGGGATGAAGCGGGCTTTCTGGCCCTGGCATACACTTGACGCCAGCTGCCTTCATCATCGTCGAGAGCTTCGGCGGAGAGAAGCTCCTCTCCCTTTGCTTCGTGGATGACCGTGTAGTTAGGCCTGGCTGGTAGGCCCACCGAGGTAGTTGAACGCTGCCAAAAAGTCGATTTTCGTGGGCGCGAAATGCGAAGCACTCACTTGAAAAACTTTAGATGGTGTGGTCGATCCCGTAGAAAGCTTCACATTCGTTCAAGTTCATTGAATGACTTAAGCAGTCAGAAACAGGAGTTTTGCCGGAGCGCTTGCGAAGCGCGGCTGCTCCCGGTAGCGTCTATGGCATGTCCCAGGACGTGAACGCGAGGGGCGCGTTCATGGCTCAAGCTACGAAGCTCTGCGTCCCGCGTTGCTGAAGCGCAGTATGCATGTGCGCTGGCGTAGGTTTCAGGACCACACACCATGCTGCTTCTCTCTATAATTGACCATCTTTTTAGACACGCCTATGGAATAACAGTGTTTAGTGTGCGCTTGTTGACGTCACCTTTGTGCGCGATTAACGATACGCATTGTTCAGGTATAGGTTAAATTCAGGTATAGGATACGCATTGTTCACAATGGTTAAATCATTATCATGGGTGGTAGTCATTGCCACGGAGCCATGCCACAAGGCGTCAACATGGCTGTGTCCACGTCAAACGGTGCTTTAGCTGCGAAACGGCATAACAAATTGTACACGCGTTCGTATGTAGTACTACCTGAAAAGAACTACTCTGAAGACACGTTTCATTTTCGGGTTATGCCAATTTCTATGATGGAGGGATCAGCCGTGTTTTATTTTCCTACCAGTAATTCGATATTGATTCGACTATTGATAATATCGATAGTGCCATCGATAGTTCTGTATCGCTACTTGCAGTGCAGTGCTTCGCCACCGTTAGATGCGCAGGCTGCAACCAAGCTCACCTTAACATGTTCGCTACCCAGCGCTGCCTTGTAGCGTCAAGAGCAGTGGATGCTCCTGAAGGAGGCGTCGCGTATCGTTTGAAGGGGTCTTGAACCGCTTTTCCGTTTGATCGTTGAATGACATCAGTAACGGAGCTTAGTACCTCACGAACCAATTGCTACCAAAATATCTGGAATTCTGCTATGACGAGCCGAGTTACAGGGATTAGTAACGCGCTTTAAGCGTTTTCTCTCTTGTCCCGACAGGCGCGCTGGAGGCTACACAGGCACGCATACTTGGCACAGGGTAAATAAGCCAGTGCGCATCATGGCCTTGAGCGCGCTGGACAAAACGCGATAACTTTTCCCATTTCAAAGTCTATCTATCTATCTATCTATCTATCTATCTATCTATCTATCTATCTATCTATCTATCTATCTATCTATCTATCTATCTATCTATCTATCTATCTATCTATCTATCTATCTATCTATCTATCTATCTATCTATCTATCTATCTATCTATCTATCTATCTATCTATCTCTATCTATCTATCTATCTATCTATTTATCTATCTATCTATCTATCTATCTATCTATCTATCTATCTATCTATCTATCTATCTATCTATCTATCTATCTATCTATCTATCTATCTATCTATCTATCTATCTATCTATCTATCTATCTATCTATCTATCTATCTATCTATCTATCTATATATATATATCTATCTATATATCTACCTGTCTATCTATCTATCTATCTATCTATCTATCTATCTATCTATCTATCTATCTATCTATCTATCTATCTATCTATCTATCTATCTATCTATCTATCTATCTATGAAAAAATGTGACATGAAAAATGTGACAATCTTGTCACGTCCCGTGTATGTCGTCAAACCATTTCCTCCAGACACATGTTGCTCATGCCCTAATACCAAGGGCCGCGGTACGCCGGTATGTGCCACAAGTGATTGACAGTTCGTGTATCTACCCAGACGGCGAGAACAGGCGTTGGTAATTTGCGTAACTTAAAGGTGAGAGGGTGAAAGACTGACTTGATTTCTTTTTTATGCAAGTTAATCGGTGATTGGTTATCCCATGGTGTTGCACCATTATTATCGATATTCCAGGTATCAACGATTAATCGCGTATTTTCATTGCTGTGCCCTTATATAACTGCGCACGCGTCGCATTTGGCCGTGTCTTCAAACCCTGTCTCTTTAACATGAATGCCTACCTACAAACTCTGTCCGCTTTCTGGTATTCTGAACTTTTCACGTAAAGTGAGCGTGATAGCGCCTCACCGCGGTGGTCTAGTGGCTAAGGTACTCGGCTGCTGACCCGCAGGTCGCAGGATCAAATCCCGGCTGCGGCGGCTGCATTTCCAATGGAGGCGGAAATGTTGTAGGCCCGTGTGCTCAGATTTGGGTGCACGTTAATTCAAACCCCAGGTGGTCAAAATTTTCGGAGCCCTCCACTACGGCGTCTCTCATAATCATATGGTGGTTTTGGGACGTTAAACCCCACATATCAATCAATCAATCATTCAAAGCCCACATATCAATCAAGTAAGCGTGATAGTGAATTATGGAAATTTCACGAACACAATGGAAACTCACGTTTTTTGAACAGCGACGAACGAAAGTACACACACACACACACACGTATATATATACTTTGGCCGAACAAGAAGTCGACAGGTACACGTCAAGTTGAAACAAGTTGAAATAGCACCAAGGCTAAGCCTAGTTCACACTCACGATAATGTATATCTTGAGACCAGGCTTGAAGCTTTGCTGATTCTTCGCCAACGAAATCACGTAAGGGGTCCGAGAAAAAACCGTCTTGTTACTCTGAGCAGACTCCTTAGCTCCAGTAGCTTCCTCGGTGACTGTTGCTTTCACAACCAACCGCGTATGGCTGTCGAACAGTGTATCCCAGCGGTATCCAAAAGGTGGTTTGTGCTGCTCTCGCAGAAGATTGTACGTAGCCTTGCCGTCTTCGAGCTGTGCAATTGAAGCAGTGATTTAATGGACCACGAAGCAAGCTGTTCACGCGATGCCACTACTTGAAATGACCTCCGCCTTTAGACAGTGGTTTAACGAGTGGTTGTGTTCTTACAAGCATTGAAGAGTAGCTGCTTGAAAACCACTGCACGCCTCCAACTTCTTCCTGTAGCCCAAATGTGAAACGCACGACACCTTCGACGGGCTTTTTATTCACGAAGCTGGAAGAAATATTCGGGCATTTATTAAGGAGCTCCAAAACAAAATTTTTCTGCGCGAATAGCTCAACAAACATCCCCCCGCTCCCCCCCCTCCAAATCTCAATTTGGATCAAAGAAGTCGCTGTAAAAAAAACAAATTGTGGGCAGTAACGTGAGTGCAAGCAAAGGCAACAAATATCGTTTTAGATAAAATAAAAATATTTGTAGTGCATACGCTATTAGGTAACTGATTGCTTCAAAGTTTATGAATACTTTTTTGCTTTATTTGTTCTTTTACTCCTTACGCGCATTATAAGTGGCGAAGTGGGCATGTATTGACCACAATATTCCTTACTACGAGATTAATGAGGCAGGCAAGGCCACAGAATTCTCACAACGACAATTCGTAAACTAAAAAAAGAATGGTTACCCAAGTACTTTGCTAGATAATGTATTAATGACGTTGACCCTACTTCGCCAACGACCTTCGTATAAAAACGTTCTGGTATGCTATATTGCTTGTTCTATAGGTTAATAAAGAATAATAAAATGTGAGCACTGCTGGAAAACTTGGATAAAATAGTGATTTATTGCTTGTTCTATAGGTTAATAAAAATTATAAAATGTGAGCACTACTGGAAAACTTGGGTAAAATAGTGAATAACGTACATTCATATTTCTTCGTGTTTCAATGTATTTAATAAGATATGCAAAATCGAGAGATACGAAAGTTGCGTGCCTTAATAAATGCATCCTTACCTTGCAGCCACAGAGCACGGTAATGTCGAAAAATTACTCAATACATAATCCGGGATGCTCAGATCGACCTTAAACCTTGGAAGCACTGTATAGTGATAAAAGAAAGAGAGTTTTTATTAAACGCAAGTGCGCTATTGTTGTACCATATTTATAGCCGTATTATTTCTGTAGCAGGAGGTATGATAGAAACTTTAAAACAATAAACGAAGAAAAAAAACGCTTGACAACGTATTTCAAGTGTTTTCTGGTTACAATAAGTAATGTGTATTTGTTCATCTAATATCGAAAATTTATCATAAGTTGAAGGTTCTCAAATGAACGCGCAACAACGGTCAAGAAAAGCTCTTTTCGTTTTCTTTGTATTTGGAGTAATTGGCATGCGTCGGTGGTCTAAAAATTCAAGCTGCCGCTATGCGGCGAGTTATGCAAACTCGTCATTACTTTCGTACGAAGTTCCCTGCTTTTCGCCGCTCTCTAGAACAAAAGATAATTTTGTCCCTACTTTTTCATCCACTATTCTACGTCATTAGACTAGCCGTAGCTGTAACTACTAGTACGTATATCTGATTTTTCACTGATGACCCCTGTCTGGTGCCGTGTCTATTTACCAGAGTTTTAATTACTACTCCAAAACTCCAGCAAAATACGATACATCCTTAAAGGTACTGCCAGTCGATTCTTTAGTCAGTTAGAATCTTTTCACGTTTACTTTTCATGCGCTCAAACCACCCGCGACGTATACACTCAACGTAACAATAACATAAATGTAACCGATTAGTTCGCAAAACAGGAAGGCGCAACTTGTCAGTTGATAGTAAACGCAAAGTAGGAGTGCTACCTCTCAAAATCATCAAAATTCGACAGTGCGGACATTTTCGAAGCCAATAATGTTAAAATTGAGCTAGGCAGAAATAAGTAAGGGGAGAATAAACGCGTGAGAAGGATGGTCATCCACAGCCCTAAGTTGGACTAAGCTCGCAAAGTAAGAAGCTCGAAGCCGTGCAAGTTTTTTTTTTTTTCGAATATGGTGTTCAAACAGTTAAAAAGGGAACCAGGAGAGCTACGAGTAATGTGAAGTTGAGAACTTATAGGTTGTGAGGTGGTATTCGACAGTGCTAAGAAAGTGCAACAGAACCCCTACTAAGATGTAGCGCATCAGCTTAGCATTCAATGACTAAATTCCGTTCGAATGGCGATGCCGGACCATTCCCAATTGTATATTCACTTAAATAATCGTTGAAAAAAGGAACCGTTGAAAAAACAAAAAAAAAATGTCTGGTGCTGTCCCACTGTGACCACCTGCCGTTAATGCTCTCCTTCACCAGAACAGGATTGGACAACACTGGTGCAGTACCTGGTCACAACTTCCCATGAACACAGCAATTAACCTTTGGCCCTCAGTCCCCAGCATCTGCGAAGCAACTGACCATGGCGGCGGTCAGATCTGCAACGCAGCAGAGGGTGCTAAGAATCTCTGGATCGGGACAGGCCGCCATTGGAGCCTGAGCTTGGCAACGTTTAACGCTAGAACATTATCTAGTGAGGGAAGTCTAGCTGTACTATTTGAGGAACTAGAGGGTGTTAAATGGGATATAATAAGGCTCAGTGAGGTTAGGAGGACAAGTGGAGTCATACAGGCCTGAAAAACGGACACGTCCTGTGCTTCTGTGGATTGGTTGGCAGAAGAGAACTAGGGGTGGTGTTTAGTAATTCAATAGAGGTGTAGTGGTTGGCGAATGTAGCAAGATTTCTGGGAAGTAATATCCATAGGCATGCGCAGAGTTCTCTGTTAGGAAAGGAGAGGCAAGAGTTTCGCTGCACCCCCCCCCTTTCATCTGCCTGACCCCTCCCACTGAGGCCGTTACGATCACAATGCAGCACAAGGACAAGCTCTAAAGGGGGCGGCCACCCACTCTGAGACCCTCTCCGTCCACACGCCTGTGGTAATATATATGTCAGGTAAACGTTGTCCTACCAAAGGTCTCATTTGATAAGTTACATGAAGTGTTTAGTGAAAAAATTAGGAAGTGAAGCACTAGAGTTGTTTTGTCCTCATCGCAAAGTAATCAGCATGAGGAAAAATTTATTTACCAGAATGAATTGAACATGACATTATTTAAAATTTGTCTACATTACTTTCGACACTTACCGTATTTATCGACCAGGAACTTGGATGTCGTGTTCTGCTCAAACTGTATACATGGATAAAAGGAGGAAAAAGGAAAGGTTTAACAACAGCTTAGTATGCCAGTATCATGAATATTTATGGTTTATAGGCTCTGTGATAATTTTTGCATGTGACGTCTACGTGGAAAGCTACACTACCAGCGTCTTCTAAGCCTAGATACACATAATGTACAGTTGTCAGCAAGCTTAACACGAATGCTCCAGCGCGTGACCTGGATTACTTCGACTGATGCCAGCCGCGAAGCGCTGGGCTCTGTTGCTGAGATAATAGCTCGGTATGCTTGGATAATATGTCGGCATGCATGGGTAACATCTCGGAAATAGATCCGTGGTGCTAGCATCAATCAAAGTGCTTCAGACCACGCGAGTGGAGCATTCGTTTTAAGCTTGCTGCAGCTTTACATTAGCGACAGCAAGGTGTTATTTCTGTTAAGCCACCTGCAGTGTTTATCACACAAGCCCGACTCGTTACCTAATGTTTGTTCGGGAGCAACGTGCATTGTTACATCTTATGTAATAAAGAAGGCATGACGAGCCATGATGCCTGATATAGAAGATATCTTGGCAACAATCAGGGTCCTATCCACAATAAACCTTTTGTGATATAGTAATTCGGAAGAGGAAAGTTCAGCCTGCTCTTATAATCTACACATAATTGTCGAAGGAAGCTGACCAATGACAAAATTTACTTACGAAAAAAAATACTTGTTATCTAGTCCCTAAGCTGTACCCAAACACAAGCAAACGCTAATTCAAAGGCCTTTCAAAAGGCACGGTTGGTGAAGTCATACATTCAGTTTCTTGTTAGTGACCAACTTTTTTTTTTCAATTCACTGTGATTTCAAATAACAGGAGCGTCAGCCATACATTGTAGCCATGCTTCATGAGAAGTGACCATTCTCCAAGTAGCGTGCGTTCTGGTAGTTGATAGGTGTGTGTAAGAAGCAAATCTCTTTGGGGCTGAAATTCTGTCCTTTCAACAATCAAGTTCTGGGGATTCTGCAAAAGAAAAAAAAAGAAAACCACCGTTTTGTCGCAAGGGAGAAGCAATGAATGCGATAGCAAAAATTTGAATGTTATATGAAGTAAGGCTATAGCGGCTATAGAACGTTTTGGATCCGATCTCGCGTAACACTACAAAATCATGTATTAAGGTTCCATTGCCGACCAAGGGGGCGAAGCGGTTTTATGCTGTTTGTCGTCTCAACGCGAAGGAAGCGCCCAGAGCACAGAGCGTACAAGTGTAGACGAGCCGTCTACTGATGTCCGTCGAGATGGTGCACGCACTAGCGTTAGCAACCATGCCATTATGATAAAAGTTTACGCTCACTGCTCCAGTGACGCCACGAGCGCAGCGATACAATCCGTTGATCTCGTCCATAGACACAACGTCACTATGGCATGTATTTCTTCAGCTTCTGTGGCGTGTGGTTTAGTTATAAAACAATGATCGATATCACAAATAATCAGTATGCCCAATACAGGGCCAATAAAGGACCTCGCGGTCCAAAATTTTAGATGCGAAAATAGATGTGCGGTGTCAACAATAATCATAGGTTGGCAAACTCACTCATGGGTCGACTCACTAAGACTCAGATTGAGCCGCGAATTTGAGCCAGAGTGAGTCCGGGTTAGTAACATTTCGGTAAGTTTGAGTCCGAGTGAGTCTGAGCAAAATTTTCGCCAGTCTGAGTCTGAGTATGTCCGCAAGAGGAAAACATTGCTGAGTGTGAGTACAAGTGAGCCTTAATTAAGGCCGAGGTATGGTGGCTAGAAGGCAGAGGTGTCAGCATCGGCGCGCCGGAGAGCGCGCGAAAATTGATCCGGATGCGGCGGCGCTGCGGTCGTTTTCTAGATGCCTCTCCTCGCACGTATCAGTCAGTTTTTTCGTTGCAAACACTTCACGCTACCCTGCGGATTGTAACAAAGTGTACCTGCCATAATTCTGGCGGCGTGCTGCAAAGCGTGCGTTGGCACTGAAAACTAGTGTTTTCTATTCACTTCGTAGTATATCAGCTACGAAGCTTAGACGATAGAGAATCAAGTGACTTGCCGTGAGCTTGACACTAAAACAAAGTCCGTGCAGTTTTCGAACCATTATTTTTATGACTCGTGCAATAAAGGTCTAATTTTACAAGCAAGACATTCATTTTCTCGAAAGCGAAAAACATGAAAATAAACACAACATATGCATTAGGGTGAAGAAAACTGCAAGTTATATGAAACTCAGCTAAAGCAAGTGAATAAGGCAACTAAAGAGAACAGAAAGTATACGATGATACAATGGGCATACATACGCACATGACATTGCAATTTCATTGGCAAACATAGATACAGTTACGAACCAGTTCACAAAAAAATTTATTTCTGCATATGTGAACACAGCCAGACAGTGATATCACAGTTGTTAATGGGGGATTTGTAACAATGTGAACAAGACAATAGTAAAATCCCAAGAAACAACAGAGTGTGAGTAGTGCACAATAACATAAAATAAAACCTTGCTCGCTGAGTTAATACTGTGACAGGTAAGTCAGATGTTTTAACTTCAAGAGCTTCATTTTTTTCTCTCTTTTTTTGATTGGACGCATTTTCTCAAGCAAGAGAAAATGCATTCTGGTCAGTGTAAAGAACCTAATTATCTGATTTGTCACTTCCAGGTTATGGTGTTCACAGCCGACCATATTTAATCTCTTCACAGACAGGCAAGAGATAAGGTCTGCTATGCTGTCACTTTTCAACTTGTTGAAACTGAAGCAATAGGTGAGTGCATCTTCCATAGCTTTCACCAGGTCTGCTAAGGACTCGGACGGGTACAGAAAGCATGATTCTGTCGGAAGCAAGCTGGAATTCTGAGTGAAGCAGCAACCTGCTACATTCGTTGCACTTCGTTTTTTTTTCTTCCGGGCCACATAGGCACTGACGTAATAAGTGATCCGGGAGTCACTTTTGCGTCCAATGAGATCAGTGTAGTCAGGGAGGGCTTCGCAAGCAACAATAATTTCATGAACTTTATTGAAGCGCCCCACATCTAGCAGCTCATCCAGCTTATTTTGCAATTTTATTGAATTATTGTGAATGTCCGGACATAGAACGCTGCTCGGAACTTCCACTGGGGGTGACTGTGCAAAACTGTAAAAACTGAGGCAAGTCACAGAGATCAAAAGTTGTGTCTGTGAAGGGTGATCAATCGAGCCAGACATTTGCTTCAGATTTCCAAAACGATTTCAAGTGCGTCTTGGCAGAGGCGAGAAGTCATCAAGTATTTATAGCCCAATGTTTTCGTGACATAGTGCCAGATGAAAAGGGTGCTGATTAGAGTGACGCGTAGTCCTTCGGCAGTTGATTCACTCAGGAACCCACCCTCCTTAGGTACAGCTTTTTCCCAAGTTGCTAAGAACCCGTTGATAACATGCTTGTAGTTACGGACGATGAATCTTTCGTCGAAAAGAGCTTCGCTCACAACGCAGTTCTTTTCCAGTGGTTTGTCAGCGCGAGGAATCGTACGCTCCGAGGTCTTGCTCTGTTCATTGTCGGCGGGAGCAGAGAAGAGAAACGCTTTCTTCCCTTGTTTGTGGGCCGAAGCATACCCCGCATTGCATCCAGGTGCACAGCAGTGTCTTTGCTGTTTACTCATCACTGTTGCATGGTTACATTGCACGTATTGATCCCGAACAAGTCCAAATAGGGAAAGCGCAGACGTCCTGACTTGCGAGCACACGAGCAAGCGACTAAAAGTGCCGCGCCAGAGGCTGGCAAGCGCTCTCGACCGATCACGGTGGCGACTTGCGCGCCTCTCCACGGCGAGATAAAATACCAGCACGCTTCCTTTCAAGGCGCGGCCGGGACGATGCTGACACCTCTCCTTCTAGCCACCATAGCCGAGGTATGTTACACGAGTGAGTCTGAGTGAGCTCCACATTGTTTTGCTGACCTCTTGTCTCATCTACTCAGCTTCAGCATTATTATCAGCCTTATTTTGGCTCCCGTTTATACTAATTGTATTTACTCACACACCAACGCAGCAGTGTTAATACGCCAGTTCAATAATAACTTGAAGAGATGCGTGAGTTAAAAAAGGGGGAGCTGGCTTTACCCTTTCTCATTCTTTTTCAAAGGAAGGTCTTGTGAAAACATCTCCTCTAAGTCATCACTTTCGATAAAAATGTCCTTAATGAATCGCGATGACATATAACTCATATTTAAAGATACGAGATCAAAAGCGCCAAGTAGAGCCCCGATTACGCGAGATGTCTGTGTTAAAAAGCATTGACACCTTGGACGAAACTTCTAATAGTACATGTACGCATGAGTCCGCTCATTCAGGTTCACTCAGACACGGATAAGGCAGTGAGTTTGAGTCTGAGTGGTGCCACGTGGGTAATGTTTTGGTGAGTTTGAGTGAGCCCGCTTGAACATTTCTAGACGAATAAATTGGTGAGTGTGAGTCCGAGTGGTGGGTGAGGTGTGTTTCATGAGTGACTGTCAATGAGTTTAAATATAAAAAAACCCAGGTTACGCGCGCATTCCTTCAGTGACAATCAATGAGAGCGCATTGGTATATATGAGCGGTAAACAGCAGACTGAGTCATCCGCAGCTGCTACTCGGCGCGCTCGAGCCGCTGCCGCAAAACGGCAGCGGCGCCAAGCTGACCCTGAACTTCATTTAATGGAAGCTGAATCTCGACAGAAACGCCCCAACCCGCTTCTGAAGGGACGTAGGCTCACCACCAATAACCACTACACCCTGACCATGAACCACTCATCACCGAGGTGCACCAAACGAAACACGTTTACGATAACCCCGCGTCAGCCCTTGCTGTTCTGCTGCATGACAATCAGGGTTCCCAGGTGTGTGTGTGTGTGTGTTTTCAAAATGGAGTGGCTGCGTGGTGCTCAGCGCTGTGACATCTGCAAAATGTAAACGTCATGAGTCATGTCAAAACCTTCTGTACGAATTCGAGAGCTTGTTTGGGAGGTGTAAAAAAAAGTCTCATCTTGTTTACTCAGGCCTTCTTGTCATCATGATGGTAGGTGCTCTTTTCGACAATTATGACGTTTAATGTTTTGGCATGAAGTGTCCAATTTCAAAGTTTCAAAATTTATTGTATTTTGCCCAATACTGCCACAACTGACACTCTTCTCCCCCCTCTTTCACCCATTGTCCTGCACTTACATAAAACTGTACCTACGTATTTGCGTGTACATTGCATGCGACTCTGCGTTTGACAATGTTCAAACTAGCGTCAGTATTTTGCCAATAAGTTATTTCTTTCCGAAAAAGAAAGCTTACAGATCTCATGGTTGAGGACTAGAAGCTGAAGCAAAGAAAAATTATTAGAAAAATGTTCTCGTGTCGAAATGCTCTTCAAAACACACTATTACGTAAACAATGTCGCCGCCATGGAGCTCTAAGTGCAGATCACTTAAGGGGCCCAGGCTGTAGTGTTATCTGCTGTCGTGTCATTTCATTACTTAGCATCACACAGGCAAACATTGATAATATGGTAGAGCCAGGGGCGGGAAAGGAAAGTGAAGGTGAGAATGAGATATGTGAGGGTTTGAAGAAAGAAATGATGAGGAGTGAGAGTGAGACATAGCATAGCCAAGCACGGTGTGAAGCAGGCAAAACTAAGCATAGCAGAGCCACAGTGAAAATTTTCAGTGCACTGCTAGGAAGTGAAAGGACGACTTAGATAGAACTACAGAGGAATAAAATAAGCGCAATCTAGCAACTGTTTATTCTACGAAATCATGACGAATCATGACGTTTCTTAGCAGCGCGCTGAAAAGTAAAATTTTAACTATGTACCTCAACCAACTGGCTCCTACCCCAGAGCTCTTCTAGCATAGTCATGTAGTGTATAGTGCATTCGCCTCGTTCTCCACCGGTGGCAGTGCTGCGAACCGTTCGCTGATGCAGCGGTGGATATTCGGCTTTTGTCATCTACTAGGCGCTAACTAGAGCACTTCCGTTACGGTTCGCCCGCGTCAAATTGCGTTCCTTGAGTATGCTAGCTGCATTTTCTTCAAGTGGCACTCCTTCACATGGCTGTCAACATTATATATTATTTGGAAATTTATTTTTTGAAGTGAAGTCAAGTTTATGTTCCTTTCATACAAAGGAGAAAGCCGGGGCTAGAGGCTGGGGTGCCTTACAAAGACCTAGGCTCCATTGTACAGTCTGACGACAGTTAACAAAACAATATAACTACTTACAACATAATAAATAGATAAATCAGCTACACTTGCAAGTACAACAAAATAAACTCTTCTTAAGCATACAGCAGTGAAATTGTTATACGTAACAGAGACCAGAGTTGAGTAAATATTTCTTTGTTTTCTGATTAAATATTTTGATTGAGACATGAAAATTAACATTTGTAGACATTTTATTCGTAGCCACAGTCACCTAATAAGTTAATTTTTGTTTGCCATAGTACACGTCTTAGGGACCCGCAGGCTTTGTTTTCGAAAAATGGTTTGTATCATTAGTGAGAGTATTGCTTTGAGTATGTAAATGATTGACTTTAATATGCTGCAAGAGACGAAAAAACGTAGCGTATGTTCTACATGCCCACATTTAGCTTATATGCCCACATTTACCGTATGTTCTATATATATATTCCCACAGCCACTGTGGTCAGGATCGTGCCCCGGAGTTAGTAGCACCACTCACTGTGCTGGATGGCGTTGTCATAGCTTAGTTGAAAGCGCCAACTTTCCGCCAAGAAAGTTGAAGTCTACGCAGCTTTGGAAGCGAAGCGCAAGCAATGTTACGGCATATGCCCTGAAAGTTTTTGTTGTGTCAACAGACTTCCCTCGGACGAACATTCACACTCCACTCTCAATAATAGTCAAGTACACAAAACGTTTGCCGACAAAATAAACTTGATAGCTTCATCGACCAGCGGGTTATTGCGGACCGTTAGCGTAGATTGGGTGAGTTGAATGTACATCAACACTTGTTCCACGTACAATCGGCTTCAACTGAAACGCCAGCAGTGGGGCGCGTGGTAAAGTTCACGCCCTTTTGATTAGAGATACGCTCTTGTGGTTTGCCGCTCGTGAGCGATATTCATACTTTCGATCGTGCAGTGCTGCCTAATCGGGTATAATGCCCTGTCAGTGGTGGTGACCGGAGGGCGCGCATTGTACAGTTCCTATTGGTTGGGCTACGTGCTTCGCTGTTCTGTTTTCCGAGCTGTGCTGTGAGTGTCAACTCACAGCACAACTTCGGCAAATAGAAGGAAAATTTGGTGAAAGTGTACAAAAAAAAGAGAAAGAGTGCTTTTTACCCCCATTATTTTGATCACTTTGGCTGATTATTGCTATTAACCACGCTGTAACAAACTTAAATAGTTTAAGGTGAAAGCATTAGATTCCCTATAAAATGAGAAAGTTGGCCATCGGAGTCCCGCGTCGGCAGCGTAGAGCGATGCCGAAAATGATCAAATGGTGGCGTCACCTTATTTCGCCATCACATCACACACTTCCAAAATTTGGGATGTCATAGCATCGCATCACATGATGGCGTGACATTATGACGTCAATGCGCAATGGCAATGCACCGTTTCGCTCTTCTAGAACTAATCACGGAAGCCGCGAGGTGCTCGTTGTGTTTCTCCAACTCGTCGGCAGGTGTCGCTAGACCCTCAGCTGACGATGTTCCTGCTGCGCTTAATGATCATCGGGCCATACGTCAAGCGAAGGTGGCGCCACTGTACGTTTTCGGCCCGTTTTAGTTAAGAAAAGATGATAATAAATATTGTTGTATTTGAACTCTATATACACACACACCATTAAAAGGTCACGTGGTCTCCATCGTGCACTCCCTTTTTGCCGTGTGGGGCGCTAAAATTGATCTTGCGTTAAGAAATATAAATTTAGGTATGCGTTTAGCGAGAAAAGCAGGTTCCGTTTAAGAAAGTGTTTCCATTAGGGGGGTTATCTCAATTCGTGTTTTGAGTGATTGTCTCTTTCTTTAAGGTTGAGTGCAACTGCACTGTTTTTTTAGGTCATCATGCTTTATGATGAAAAGAAATGAACGAAAACTAAGAAACGCTTTAGTCGAATAAAAAAAGACATGAGTTGGCTTGGCAAATCATAATGAACCTCATCATACTTGTCACGATGTCTTTGTAGTAATGAAAGAAAGAGTTTTTATTTGTGCATTTTAAAGCCGCAATGGACTTCTGGCTACTAATAATGCAAAATGTACCTACCCGGACTTCCAGCCTGAAGATGCTCTTTGATGGTTTAAGCCTGCCATCGACGGCCAGGAACCTTACGTTCACTGAAGAAAAGAAATGCCGTATTTACCAAAACAGGTGTGTTCCGAATATGCTTATAAGAATTGTAGGTGTGCTACGTGTTAAAAATTTCTCATATGTCTTCGCACCAGTTCCAACCATATAATGAAGATTTGTTTACGCAGAGCATTAAAATATCTTACGATAACATTGTCGCGAAAAGAAAAACAAATATTTTAGAAACAGAGCGTAGAAGTGCGATGAAAAATCTGATGAAAGCGAACCAAGTACGTTCTCTTTAATGCGTTTGTCGGCACTCAACGTTGAAAAAAGTAATAATTCATAATCTTAAAAAAGCAATCATTATGAGCTTTTTTATAAACGTGATGCAGCTCAAGGTTCTATGAGGTGAGGAGAAGGCGAAAGCAGGCGACTCGCAGATCACTCATATTGTGACGGCACAACAGCAATAGAAAAGGGTAATTGTGTTGCACAATATAGATAACTTACTACAGGTGTCAAAAACAGTGCTTCAGGCTCTGCTAAATAAGATAAATATTCATCAGGCACTGCAGGCACTTTAGCTATCTATCTATCTATCTATCTATCTATCTATCTATCTGTCATTCTGTCTGTCTGTCTGTCTGTCTGTCTGTCTGTCTGTCTGTCTGTCTGTCTGTCTGTCTGTCTGTCTGTCTATCTATCTATCTATCTATCTATCTATCTATCTATCTATCTATCTATCTATCTGTCTGTCTGTCTGTCTGTCTGTCTGTCTGTCTGTCTGTCTGTCTGTCTGTCTGTCTGTCTGTCTGTCTGTCTGTCTGTCTGTCTGTCTGTCTGTCTGTCTGTCTACATTTGCGTGCTCTCGCTATCACACCCTTAACTTGGAGCAATTGGGAACTAGTTTGAGAGGGTAAGATGGTTTGACGAATACGACTCTCTGGTCATAGATGAATAATGTCACAATCTCATTGCGTACGTCGTCAAACACTTCACAATCTCATTGCGTACGTCGTCAAACACTTTCCGCCAGACAGTGGCACATACCCGTAGGCTGGTATGCGCTACAGGTATACGGGCACGGGCCGCAGGTTATGTGCAGTTTATATCTACCCAGGAACAGCGAGAATAGACATGGGCATTTTTAACGTGTTAGCGTTAAAAAAATTTGACATTGATAGCGTCGACCCAACAAATGAAAAGAATCAGAGACCCCGCAGAAATTGAACTCCAACATTCTGCGTGGAAATCACGTTTTCTACCACATAGCCCCGCCTGGTCTCGGAACTGATTTTTAATTAGACTGTTATGTTTGTTGAACGCCTATTGAGTTTAGAATTCTGGCTATCCCACTTCGTAAGCGTTAGGTATGTAGTCGAATGATACAGCCGTCAAGTCGTGTTAACGTCAATTGTAGTTATGCACCATCCGCTGAAGTGTAAATATGGAGCAGTGTCCAGGGCTACCAACAACGCGAGCATGAATGAGCTCGTGATATCAGCTTATCACTTCTGGTGTTGCTAATATTCATGTTGCTGTTTGCTTTGTTACGCAGATGACAACAACTGCTTATATAAAACTATGCGGCTGTTTAACGTGCGTCTATGTGTGCATTTGTACATATCTTCAGCCACACATCGTAGCTTCTCACACAATAAAAAAATTACAACCCAGTCACCATCCGTCTACATGCTTCGCACAACATCAATTCCCAAGGTACTTGGGAGCTGCCAAATTGATATTTCTTCACTAAAAATTACTTTTGGCGCCTCTCCTGGTGAAAAACTCAATATGCACTTGCAAAAAATCGCGTTACCTTTTACTGATGAACACTCATTGTCTCTATATAGAGTTGAAATGCAGCGTACTTTCTTGTTATAAGCTTTTATAACGTAAAGCTTCCAGATGTGCATTTGTTTGTATTTAGCAGAACAGCTACTTCACCTTCGCTTGACATATATGATACAATTTTTATAACTATTGTTACTACTATCGAAAGCACCTGTCCTAGTCAGTCGTCTATATTTATCAGACAAAAATTAGTACAAATGTGTGATGTTCTGCATTAAATTTCAATCATCCTAAATTGCGAAAAAAGAAGCATTAGGCGCCAAAGCTACATCTTTGAGTTATGCTATTCCGTACCATGCTTTGAAAATAGCGAGGTTGATACCGCACTTGCCGCGAGCTTCATTATACAGTTATAAAACAACCAAAGATTATCTGATATAGTACCTAAAAAGTATGTATGTTCAACACTATTTAGCTCTGCATATTTCTCAACGCAATACTTTTTTTTATTGCACCAGTATTCAGAACTACCTTCATAAGAGAGAGTTTTGGACACTGAATAAAAGTTACGTTGTGCATTGACCAAAATAAAAAATTGCGTCTCAAACCCTGCGTTCATATCAGTTTACTGATTGTGTCAGTGCCACTGCGAGCACATGTTGTCCCGTAACTTCAGAACGGCCAAAAAAAATAAAAATAAAGGTTTCTGCGCCTAATTGCATTTAAAATAGAAATCGGGTCTTGCTCCAGCCTAAAGGTTTTCGTTTAAAACAGTTGCATAATCTCGATTCTTGTATCTGTGGGGTAGTTCACAGCATGCGTATATGATTTATCATAAAAGAAGCTAAGGAAATCCGGACAACACCTGCAAACACACACTCAAGATAGAAGAACAAGGCAGCACAAACGCCATTTGCGTTTTCTTGTTCCCTTCCCGGGTTAGCACGCCTTAACTTTTTTCACAATTAATCCGTACCAATAAGAAGCACTCTCTGTATTGATAATGCGTACACGATACTTACCACTTTCTCCTGGACGATAGATGGGTTTCTCGGTCTGAAGAAAAAAATGCTCGCCCGACGCAGGGCTCATCAGAATTGGAGTACTTTTTGCCCATATACTGCCGCACTTAACTTTCAGCATGAACCTGTTCCGTTCGTGCTGCAAATTGGTCACGTCAGTCTGACGCACAATGATGTCAGCAATTTGGGGAGAACCTGCGAAATGTAAATTCAGCTTTGGTTACAGCAGCAGTATGTATCCCTCTTAAGTATCGCTGGAGCATAAAACTGCAGTAATTAAATAAGCCGTGGAAGGTTATTATCCTGCGTTAGAGGGCCCCTAACCAGACTTTCAAAATTCAAAATATTCGAGTGCATTATTCTCTCCTGGCGTTTCTCGTGTTTCTGGCGTACTTCGCAATGTAGGAACTGTGATTCCCGTCATGCCTGCACACTCTCGGTTGGTTCATATGAGCGAAATATCATATGTGAATAGTCTCCTGCACTGCTTTGCCTGGCAGCCGTCCAACCATTCCTCTTTGTCTCGCATGAGTATTGAGCGCAATCATGCGATTTCACTTTATTTTGTATGTTTTCGATTGCGCCAGTGGAGATAACAGTTTAGACGACAATCGCTGGATCTTGATATGCGCAACACTTATCGAAGTTTTATATTGGGCTAGTTGGTAATTCATCTTCAACAATCAGCACTGATCTGACGAGGTCTCTGTTTCTTTTCTTGTCCTTTGTTCATTCTTCGCTGATTGTTGAAAATGAACGCTTTTTTTATTTGTTTTGTGGGGTTTGATGTCCCGAAACCACAATATTATCATGGGGGACTTCAGAATTTTCGTTTATATGGTGCTCTTTACCATGCACCTACATCGCACAGTTCGCGGGCATCTACCATTTCGCCTTGATCGAAATGCGGAGTGAACACTTAGCGCTGACATTGCACACTTACATTTAAGAAATAAGCGACGAAGGTGAGACCGCTTCTAAGACTGGTAGTAAAGGTGACAAACACTTGGTTTATTCACGATAGGCTATTAAACATAATAGAATAAAAACCTACGCCGATTCAAGCTAATGCAACGTATACGCAGTCCAAATGCCAGTAAAACTTTTGTCACCACGCCTATTTTCATCGTTAGTATGCTAACTATGCCTTCAAGTTCAAAGTTTGGCGCTCTCAGAGAGCTTCTGGACAGCCAACTGTATTTAAAGGGTAAAAGAGACAGTATTTTATCTGTTTCGCTTTTGAGTTTCCCTTTTTCCACCGAAGGGGGGAGGGGGGATAAAGCTTTTTCGTACTCGGGGAATTGAGTGCTAGTGGTTTCCATTGGGACGACGACGTCTCTTATGGGTGCTCAACGAGAACGGCAAACATTTAGGGATTGAAATGAACATGAACTCCATCTCCGGTGAATGGTAGCAGCACAGGCATGGAAGATGGATGACTTCAATTTGTCAGACTTCAGTACAGACGGCACAAGTGCACCAAACCATTCCTGATCAGATGATATCTACTAGTAAATCGGCCAATTTATCGCGGAGCGTACCCAAAAATATTTTTTGAATGGGGGGGGGGGGGGCGAATATGGTTCAACCATATTTTACGCGTAAGTTTTGTATGTGTGCGTGTGTGTATACGCAAGCGCAATTGAAAGAGAACCCCTCCTGGCTACACCCATACAGCAGCGTGTTCAATACACAAGTCTTCAGAGAGAGAGGCATGCATGCAACCGCAGAAATAAGTATGTGTAGATGCATATTTTAGAAAAGCAAATGCACAGTAAGCAAGCCTTCGATACACCACGTCGAGAAACTTTTTTGCGCAGTGGCATGATAGACACTAGGGCTTATATATTTGTATATATATAAATAGCTTTTGTACTTGAGAATAAATCTGTAGTATTATTCTACAAGGCGTTTATGTTCAAAACTTGTATTTCGATTTTTAAAAGTTTACCTTGTGTAAAGTATCATTGGTGGCCTTACGAGCCACTTGTTTTTCATTATCAATATTTTGATACTTTCTTTTTGATAATATTAGAAGTCAATCTGTTGTTCGAAATTAATACAGCTGAAAAGACGGGTTTCTTTTTTGTGTGTGATGTCAGTGGACATAAGAAACACCAGACGGTTTAAATCTCTGGAACCTTCAATTACGCCGTTTCTCATGAATATCTCGTGGTTTTGGGACGTAAAACCAGAAACATTAATCTGAAAATATCTGAGGCAGAAAACAAATGTTTCTTGGGCGACCCAAAAACAACCAATTTTTCCGAAGTGTCTAAAGTCTTAAAGAATACAGTACATCGAAAGTGACATGTATAAATACAATAAAGTTCAACGTTGCCTACGTAGACTCCGAACGAATTGTGGAAAACTGCATCGCGTTATCAAATTATGACTTTCCTGAGTAAGGAGATGGCCGGCTGGACTGACCCAGTAAAATAAATATAGCATATGTTTGGTGTGTGGGCCTCATAACTGCTGAAGTCTCTTTTTACCTAGCTATCTGTTAACGCCAGTTTAGAAGATGCATAACTCAGCGCTGGGTTCAGTTATGCTTTTATTTTGTAACAACTGTGAACCAGTTGAGCTTACAATAACCCCTGCCTCTTGAATTTGATTGAGGAAGGCACCCGGAGTGGGATTTGTGCTTTTTAAGTCAAGTTCTCTCTCTGTGTTTCTTCTTGCTTTTCTTCAACACTGACTGTATTATTTATCTTCTTTGTTGCTTATAAAACAAGCAATTATATTGAAGTAACTTGTTTCATGTAATGCAATGCACATAACTTTGTATCACTCCGATCACCCTATTAGTTTTGCATCATTTTTTGTTTGTGTATATAGCTAAATATACGTGTGTAGCTGAACGCTTTTTCTGTATAGCTTAACATTTTGTATAGTTCACTATTATTATTGTCATTTACATTTTGTATTGCATCTGTTGTGAACTGGGTGGCCAAAGGCCCCCGGGAGGCAACTGTATACTCTAAAATGTTTTCGGGGGTAAATGGACAGTTAACCTGAAAAGGGACGAACTCTGTGCAAACGTTCGCACATGAGACGACAACAAAGACGCTTTCCTCTCTTGTGAGAAGGAAGCGCCCTTTTCAGAGTAACTGCAGAAATGTACGCACCGTGTGCAAATAACCTATCGGTGCCTACATAGCACAGTTTCCTTCCAGACGGTGCCGCAGCATGGCGGGCTTGGTGTCGTAGTTGTTAGTGCACGCGCATGCTGACTCCATGGTCGTTAATTTTAAATTCGTCTGTTTCCTGTAAATTTTCTGAAGTTCATTTCTGAACGTGATGCCTGTAAATCAATTGTACATGCCTGTATAGACCTTATAATGCTGGTTAACTAAACCAAGAACTTTTTTTCTTGCGTAGAAAGTAACTGCGGCTCCTTTGAAGAGTATTGAGAAGGTTCAACTGTTAGTAGTAACCGTGATGGGGGGTAGGGGGCGGGGTAACCACTCGACCCTTCACAGTTACCGTCGAAAGGGAGGGATGGCTGTGACAGCTCCCCTAAAAATGCAACCTTGATGTAACTTTTCTTCTTTACTTCTTAAAGTGTAGCCTTAAGTTCAAAGTAGCCTTGAGAAAGAGTAGCCTCAAGACTCCTCAGACAAGACCTGAAATAAATAGAAATCGAAGAAAGGGGGGAACACGGTGTGCGTTTGCGTACATTCTCTGCGTAAATATTTGCCTGAGTAAGCAATCGTCTTCAAGGGTAGCTTATGTTCACTTACCTGTGCTGACGGTAGATGACCATTGAAAGAAACTCGTTGGACTACTCCGGGAAATATGGAGTGTTACAGTCACTGTCTTTGGACCACCGTCTACCATGACCGCGAACGTTTCACTAGTCCCCACTCGGAAGACATTGGGTGCCACCACGAAACAGTTCCTGAAAAAAAAAAAGAATCCCGCCAGGTTAAACGTGCCGGCCACACTTGAATTCACAATTGGCGCACAAAGTCAAATGAATGGAAACTGTCTTGCAACACGGCGAGACAGTCAGACCCGGCTCTCGAGAATTGCAATAGACAGTGGACAAGCCACGGTCAAGACCTTGAGCTTTTGTTCTGTAGTGACAACAAAGAACGTTATTTAGGAGTTGGCCTTTATTAGAGATGGTATCTTATACCATCGGAAGATGTGCCCATGGGGCAGGAACTACTTACTGGGGTTCGAACTTTTATTTCCGGTGTGTCGTATGCTCCAGAAGCTGTATAGTGGGTCATCTTGGAGCCTCCAGAACGTACTACCGTGTCTGACAACTCTTTTTTTTTTGTCCTACCTCTAAAGGTCGGTACATCGTTAGGTGCCTTCCTGGGAGTCTTGCCATCACCAGAAAAAGACAGCGGCAGCCCTTTCCGATCTCTTCAGCGTATCGATATACCCTTTTCTTCCCCAAGTGTCGTGGTTGATGTCTACTCGTCTGAGTAATAGGTACTGCGTCACTTAACCGCACTTTTCGCCCTCTTTCGTTTCAAGAAGCTCCCCCCCCCCCCCCCGAGCCCTTTTACAGCGGTGCTGTATATGGAGCGAAGCCCACCACTACAAGAGCTGGCGCTCCCATCAGCGGAAAGAACTCGGCATGCAGGATCAGTGGCAGCGTCGTCGGCTTCGAGAGCGTCTGCGCGCTGACAACTAAATTTTCTAATGCCACATGAGCTGTAATTCTGAGTAAGTAAGAAGGAAGCAAGGGGAAACTACTCGCTCGGAAAACCAATAAATGTAGAGTGAGACGCCATTTTAGTAAATATATTAATAAAACGTCTAAGGCCTTAAACCAGAAAATAAATTTTGCTGACGACGTGCCTACGTCAGCGTAGACGCAAGCTTTTTTTTTCAAGGAATCACTTTGGAAAAAAATTTGATTTCTTTTACAGTAGAACGGTGACTTTTGACTTTATTTGTGTACACAATTTTGAATGCTCACATATAATGCTACCATGCTATCGTGTAGTGAAGGCTTCATTCTGGTATGCCAACGGTTCAGGCCACCATAAATAAGAACGTGCGGTAAGTCGGCGAACTAGAGTTAGCCGCTATGAGAGAGGATCTGCGCGAGGTTTAGAAAGCGTAAGGCCTCCCTTCAGCCGTACATTGCCCCTTTGGTAGTTTGGCCGCACGTGATTGCTTTACAGAAAACCATTAAAGTGGCAGTTCCTTTGCCCGGCTATCAATATGCACTGATCACCGTCACCGCAGCCGAGATTCGATCCAGCGATCTTCGGGAAGTGATAACATTATGCTCTTGGTGACGCAGCAAACCCTGGGGGCTCCACTTAAGGAGTACATAGTGACGGACAAGAAGGAGTTAGAAAATCACCGCGCGGCGGATCAAACCGAATACGGACCGCTGGAAGAACTCTTTTCTTGATTAGCGGAGGGTTCACCCCTCGCGACCATGACAGTCCAAATTGAATTAAATTGCGCAATGAACTCGCGCCTTGCACATTTATCGGAGGCTAAAAATCGCTGGTTTAGAGATGGCGCATACAGTAGCTCAATAGTTGCAGCGTAAGCACATAGCACTTTTCAAAGAATAAATGAAATATAGTCAGGGGGCGCTTCATCGGCAGTGGAATGAAGTTTGCTCAAAATTAGATGGGAAGATACGCACTAGAGTCAAATGGAACCTCTTGAAGGTACTCCTCGATGAGACTATAATTACGAAACAAATCAGAGGTTGTTAATTGGCCGATTAGTCCAGGAACATAGGAACAATGAGGTAGATTACGCGACTGTACTTAAGAAAATGGCAGAGTGATACCTGCCGATCGGCAGGTATCACTCTGCCAATTACTCGGACTACCGGGGAGGGCCACTGGGAAAAATCGGCTCATCCTTCACGAACAATGAGATTGAATAGGTGGCTAATACACTAAAAGGTCGCTCAGTTCCAGGATCTGACCGAATTACGAGCACGCTGCTACGTAATATTCATGGTTGTTCCATCGCTAAGTTAACCAGGTCAAACTTCTCTAGGCAGAAAGCCGCGTGCTGGATGCCTGGTGGACCACCACGTTGGTACCCATTGCCAAACTGAGCAAGCAACTCGCCAGAGAAGCTATACGTCCCGTCTCACTCTCATCTTGACTGGGCAAGGTGATGGAGCATGCGGTACACAACGAGGACTCCAGGTGTATCGAGGATAAAAAGCTTTTTTTTACACAACATGGTAGGCTTCCGGCTGGGCCTCTCTACCCAGAATGGGATTAAAATGCAAATTATAGGCCGAGCAACCCAAGATGTTCGGGGACTATTGACCCTTGATCTTGCGAAAGCCTTAGACACAATTTCCCATAAGTTCGTCCAAGAGGCGGTCAAAAGCACGTGGTTGGAACCAAAGCTCACCGCCTATGTTCAAGCCTTCTTCAGGGACCACGAAGCAACCATAAAGATTGGGGGATCGACATCAACGGCCTTCACTGTGGGTGCGAAGAACACGCTCAAGGAGCGGTAATTTCACCTCTCTTGTTTAACATAGCCCTGGAAGGTCTCTCTGAGCGTCTTTCCACTGTAGCCAATACCAACCATGCACTATTAGATGCGAAGCAGCTGGTGGTCCGGCTCCATTGTGTGGCCACCCTTAATGCACATGCGCAATAGCTGCCCCAAGCACCGCCAGAACGCGTTCACGCGCTAGCGCGTTCGGGTCTCTGTAAGGGGCAAAGTAAGACGCTGTGTTCTCTCTAAGCAATCATGCTCTCTCTTACGCTCTCTCAGCAATCATGTGATGGCGTCAGGCAACGAGATTCTGCGAACACGCGATGAACGTACACGCTCTCGCGTGGCGTGCTCCAACAAGAGTTCGGGACGAGAAAGCCAGCAAAAAGTATACAGTCAATTCATGGTATGCTCCATCTGTAAGGGCCGCGCTACATTGGGCAAAGTGCCCGTGATAAACGGAACTAAGTCGACCCATGTGCTGCTACGCGTGCTGTTCATGGTTCCCGTTAGTCGGAGATGGTGTAACTTTTTATTCTGACGTCATTACTGTCTGGTGCATGAGAGGTTCGGAGGCTGAGCGAAAGAATGTGCTCCAGCCGGCACAAGTTTTCTGAAGGGTATACATGGGGCTTCGCCTTTCCCCCTCCAAATTGGAGTTTCTTCTCTAACTGGTTCGACCTGGGAGAAAACCCCACTAAACAATCGATCAGGTGCAGAGTGCGTTAACCAAAAGGCAGGGTCAGTCGAGCCAGTGGTATACCAAAAACAATCTACCTCACTCGTCAGGCGGATATGTATATATATATATATATATATATATATATATATATATATATATATATATATATATATATATATATATATATATATATATATATATATATATATATATATATATATATCCGCAGTGAAGAAGACGCACGGAAGTGGTTTTATGAACGTTTCGGCCGCGGGTTCTGCCCTCATCAGATGAAGGCTGGACCCGCGGCCGAAACGTTCATAAAACCACTTCGTGCGTGCGTCTTCTTCACTTCGGATAATCTTACCCTAACTCAACATCAAATTTTCGGTATATATACATATATATATATATATATATATATATATATATATATATATATATATATATATATATATATATATATATATATATATATATATATATATATATATCAGCTTTTTAATGAAGACGAACATGCCGTAGGCCCGTGTGTTCAAGAAATTTAGGTATTTAGGTGCACCTTAAAGAATCCAAGATGGTCAAAATTTTCAGGGCCTTCCACTACGGCGTCTCTCATAATCATATGGGGGTTTCGGGACGTTGAGCCCTAAATATCCATCAATCACCTCGTGACCGTTCAGTCAGCATGCGTGTACACTAACCACTACACCACACCACGCGCTACAGAAGCGCTTCAAGTGAAACAGGCTTGTGTAGGCACTGATGAGTCGTTTGCGCATGGTGCGAACATTCCTGCAGTTACCCAAAACAACGGGTTCTTTGATCTACAATGAGGTAAGTGCCCTTCCTGATGGTTCCTTGTTCTTTTTCGCACATTGCGTCTTTTGGAGGAGAAAATAGCCCTTTTCCTAGTAACTGCCCTGTTACTCCACAAAAAGTGTGCCCGCTCTTTAGCTATACGTACATGATTATTCCGCAACTTCGTAACGCTAATCTCTCGAGATACAAAGTGGAAGACTTCATTACTAGTGATAGTTATTGAGGCTGCAGAAAATGTGCATAATTTAACATAGGATAGCCAGACACCCGTGCGAACGGCGGGTTTACTGTAAAAATTGTTGTGTTCGTTGCGTACACCAAGCAATACGTGCCATAGAAAATATATTAGGCAGGGCTAACGTGGTTATAACTAGGAATAAACTCCGGGATGAGACGCATGTTTGCCGAAGTATCACAAAGAAAATTGATTGATATGTGGGGTTTGACGCCCCCAAAGTCCCCAAATGAATATGAGTAACGCCGTAGTGGAGGCCTCCGGAAATTTCGACCACCTGGGTTTCTTTAACGTGCATCCAAATCTGAGCACACGAGCCTACAGCATTTTCACCTCCATCGAAAATGCGGCCGCCGCTGCCGGGATTCGATCGCGTGACCTTCGGGTCAGCAGCCGAGTACCTTAGCCAATAGACCAACGTGGCGGGGCACAAAAGCAATTAGGATGTTTCAAATTTACTAAATACATTGCACTTTACCATTAAAGTTGCGCCTGCATCTGCGAATAACCTAAATTATTAGAAAGAATTGAGCTTTCTTCATTGGGAGACCTTACATGAATCTGGCTGTCGTAACAATGAACTTCACATATTCGGAAAATAAACAATATTGTACTGCCACATACAGCTTTATCGGAAATGTTGAAATATGTTCGTCTATTTGGATCATATATGCATCTTCTCAACAGCCGCCAGGAATTGTGTTGTCATATATCCTGATATGGGTGAAAAA